GGCCGCCTGTTCCGCGAAAAGAAGAGGTAGCGTTGAAATGTCTCGTTTGTTTGGCCTTCGCAGTAGTCACTGAACTTCTCAAGAACTGTCTCCAGATTGTTAGCATGTTCGCTCTTGTCGTAAAACAATGTCTCTAGCACACGGCGCGCATCATCTCCTGCTGCATGTCGAAACATGGCCAAGCGGTACGCCATCGGTTGTTTGTCCAGACGCGATAAAGTGCAGAAATCCGTCCATTTGCTCTTCCACAAACGCCAGTTGCTTGCCAAACTGCGTTCATCCATGTTCAGCGGGGCAGGCATTTGAATAGCCGGTGCAGCTCCAACCATCGTCTGGGTGGTACTAATGTTCTTCTCCTTTTCTGACACCATGTAAAAAGTCGGTCCTTCAGGGACAAAACGTATATTCTGCAGACAACAGGACCAGGCGAAAACGCAGGCGGAGGGCGAGTGAAACATATCGGTATATACAGCTAGTTGGATCCATAATTAACGACCCTTGTGAATGCATGACATTTTTCCGTTGATTCAGTCAAACAAACTCACTCCAATGCGTCCGACTGTTGGCCAATCAGCGTGCATGCGAGAAACGTGTGAACGTCCAATCGACTGCCGCCTTTCCTTGCGGCAGCCTAACGGCTTCCTTGCTGGGCTGGCACCGCACGTTCGTTCGAGTGTATACTCCCATCACAGTGGGGAGTAAGCCCAGTTCGGATAGGTGATTTCCGAGACCCGGTAGGATCTGCTTGAGGATTATCGCGTACAGCCTTTGAAGATGTAAAACAGTTCATAGGTTTCTTGACCGCAATAAGTTGCGAATCTGCGACCACGGCCAGCCGAATGTGGGAGTTGGTGTTCGCACTAATTTGACCAGGGACTGCCTGGTTTGAGGCGGGCTGTAGCAAACCATTGAGCACTAGGTAGTACCATCCCATCGTCAGATAAAATTCGTGGTGTCCGTGCTCTATGCTAATCGAGCTGTGAGCTTATGACCCGTAAACCAATGGCTAGGTTCTAAGTGAAAAGAGCAATCGACCCTAACCGAAGAGAATTATGAGACTGCGTTATTTTGATCCCTAACCATTGACTTTCCTGGTGTGGGTGGCTCTGAAAATAAAATAATGTGTCAGCTGTACGTCGTAACGCCGCTTCGCTGGCGCGCGAGCACCACTAATCGTGCGCGGGCTGAGTATACTGCCAGGACGTCCAACCATATACAGATTCCAACCAGTGACGATTGCAAGCCAAACGTGCAAAACAACTCGGCCACCGGCCGACTGGTGGCTCTGAAGTCACTTGGAAAGTGCCATCCAGCGTAACTCAATGAATACCACGTTAAGGTCCAGTCGCGTCGCGATGACTTGAGGATGATTGTTCACGTGCAGTGACAACGCGTCAAACGCGATGAAGTTAGACGCCTCGTTTTAGGGAGGGTGAGCATTCACCAACAAACTGGTTTTATGGCACCAATTGTGGCTTGGACATGTCCTGTGTATGTCATCCGACCGTTTACATCGTGCCATGTTTCATGTACGATTGTGATGAAAAATCCACGTGACTGTCAGCCATCTACCCGATTACATCCTACGAAATCGCTGACTCCACGTCCGGCCGCAGTCGGATTCATATGACTGCCTAAATGGGGACTGAAAGACGAGGAATGACGACGGTTTGAACCGCCTCAACATATGGTGCGCAAACGAGATCTGCGAAAGCTTTGTCCATGACTGTTTACGTACAACGGTTACAGGCTAACAGTTTAACATGATAGAACAAGAAAAAAGGCGTATGGAAAAGTAAGATAAAGGGATCTTTCTTCTTTTGTGACACTTGCATTCCGCACCGTGCATTGACTTCTATAGCGTTTATGCTCCCAAATCTCTATCGTTCTCATATATATATATATATATATATATATATATATATATATATATATATATATATATATTCTTTGGTTCGCTCCGTCTTGGTTAGACAACAACTGCCTTAGTCACAATGGGAAGTGTTCCGCCACCCTTTGAGCGAGCCGGCGACCAATCTTGCCTATGTGTCACCGCAACTGCAAGTGAACTGGTAGATGACCTTAGAGTCCGAACTGATTGGCCAGCTACTCGGACGGCTGTGGAGAGGATGCTTCGTGTAGTGTGAATAAGTCGTAGTTGGGCGACAGAGTAGGTGCGCATTGGAGCAGACCTGAGCCTGTGACCAACTTCATTTGCCAAGTGATCCCCCTTGAAGGGTAAGAAGAAATAAACATCCTTCTTCTCCGCAGTTTGTACGGGCAGCTTCTCCTTAGGGGGTCTGCTATGGGTCTGAATGAATTTCTCCGGATACCCATTGGTTAGCGAAGTCCGGTATAAAAACCCTTCTACAGCCTTGAGCAATTCCGGACTGCAAATCCGCCTGGCCCTGTAGAAGAGAGTTTTTACAAGGCCGCGCTTGTATGCAGCTGGGACGAAGCTGGAAAAATGTAGGTATTGTCCCCCCAGGTCGCTTTTCTGTACACCGTGTGCTGCAATGTGCCATCGGTCCTTCTCTTGATGAACACGTCAAGAAACGACAGTCTGTCCTCTTGTTCCTTCTCCTGTGGTACAGAAACGTTCGGGTGAATTGAGTTCAGGAGGGTAGAAAGACTATCAAAATGTTCACCATTTGTGAAGACGAGAATATCATCTATATAACGCTTGTAAAGCTTGGCTTCACCTATACAGGTAGCAGCTTTCCTTTCATTCATACCCAGGAAGATATCTGCCAGAACTGGTCCCAAAGGACTGCTCATAGCGACGCCGTCAATCTGTCTGTATGCCGTCCCTTCAAATTGGAATCGCACATTCTCAGTGCACACCAATATCAAGTCTCGCAAGAACTCCAGAGGAAGGCCCATAGACAGGTTCCGACTCAAAAGAAATTGGCATAGGTCGTCAACCATTTCACGTAGGGGCACATTCGTGAACGATTCCACATCTATGGAATACATGAGCTCCGCGTCGAGTGTTGTTTGTTTCACTATATTCATCAATTCAAAGGAGTCTTTCAAACAATGCGTGCTCAGGAGCTTACGCACGGGTTCCAAGAACTTTGCCAACCACCGGGCTACTTTGCGGCAAGGTGAGTTATTCATACACATTATTGGGCGTAGTGGAATTCCCGTCTTGTGCAGCTTCGGCGCACCCCTCATTCCTGGTGTTTCCGTTCCTGTCGGTTTTAGCTGCCGATATTGTGACTCGGAGATTTAACCATGAAGCAAAAGAATTTGTAGATGTCTTGTAATTTGTTTCTCCACCAAGACATTGTTGTCCAGCGTCTTGTCAATATGAAAATCGCGTCCATCTCCGAGAATCGACTCCATTTTTGCTCTGTAATCAGCTTTGTCCATTATTACCACACCCGTGCCTTTATCCGCTTGCAGGAAAAGTACGTCCTTCATTTTCTGCAGCTCCTTGATTGCAATATAGCGTTCCGACTTCAAGCAACACCTCTGACTAATAGGCGCGTTCAGGAACTGGTGCGAGATACCCACTAATTTTGCCCGAAACCATTCTGCATCATCCGTTGATTTCGGTAATTGGTCGCTGAGTTGATCGTAGCGACTGACGAGAGCAATCGAAATGTTAATATATCGTAACCTACGTCTTCTTACTGCGTTAATGAAGTGGCTGAAGGGGACAGAGTGTTTCAAGTTTCTTAAAAGAAGACGCCCAGCTGATTTTGTGAGGTCATTGGATCGATTGTTGTCGTTGCGCTGCAAAATCACGGTGGAACGCGTACGGGTTAAAATTTATCAAGAATGTATCCAGTCAGGTCGGTTTCCATCTCGATTTGTTAAAACTGTCGAAAAATAAGCTGCCCGCTAACAGTGTGAATCTAGCCAGGATTGCGTCCGCATATATCGATGTTTGCATTGAACGAGAACATAAGGTCCTGGAGACACAAAAGCGATTCACGGTTATTTTGAATGGCGTGTCACTAGTCTGCCGTTTCAAATTTGAGGCATTTTCTGCTGAAACTCTCCAGTGTACTAGGACCAAGACACTGCGCAGCCTTCAAGGTACCCTTGTGAGACCAGCCAACATTCCTTTCCCCACCGAGGACCAGAAGCATGTGTACAATCTGCCAACAGTTCGGTTCACGAGAGAACAGTAGGAAGTTCCTTCGCTTAAATTGAAATACCGAATACCGCCGAAGAAGGTGGAGAGGCTCCACACACAGATAAACTTCGAATATCTGTACGATCAACTCAGTGACCTATCGCCGAAATCAACGGATGATGCAGAATGGTTTCGGGCAAAATTAGTGGGTATCTCGCACCAGTTCCTGAACGCGCCTATTAGTCAGAGGTGTTGCTTGAAGTCGGAACACTATATTGCAATCAAGGAGCTGCAGAAAATGAAGGACGTACTTTCCCTGCAAGCGGATAAAGGCACGGGTGTGGTAATAATGGACAAAGCTGATTACAGAGCAAAAATGGAGTCGATTCTCGGAGATGGACGCAATTTTCATATTGACAAGACGCTGGACAACAATATCTTGGTGGAGAAACAACTTACAAGACATCTACAAATTCTTTTGCTTCATGGTTAAATCTCCGAGTCACAATATCGGCAGCTAAAAACGACAGGGACGGAAACACCAAGAATTAGGGGTACACCGAAGCTGCACAAGGCGGGAATTCCGCTGAAATTTAAAACCAAGTGTTAGGCTGCTACACGACGTTTACTGAATAAGTTGAGTATCGGTAGCTCGCAAGCATTTCCTTCGTAGAGGAAGCCGTGTCAGGGTTTGGTCTAGCTGCGCATCTGATCTTTATCCGGATCAGGTTTCTCTGGATGCAAGAGAACACAGGACTAGCGACTGGTAAATCCGAGATAAAAAGGAACTTTTAAGGGCACTGGTTGTGGAATACATGCGTCAAGTAATAAAGGTAGGAGAAGTGTTTTCTATCAGATAAGCTTTTGAGACTAAGTTTAGAAGTTAAAAAAGGAAAGAATCTGTAGTACTCACCATGTTAACGGGCCAGTGGGAGGCGTAAGTGGCGCGATTGACGGCAGGATTTGCGATACGCAGATAGCTAGTCTGCGGCGCCGCTGAGGTATTAGGAGTGGTGAACCCAGGTGGTGGTGGTAATGTCGCGGCGGCTGATGTCACGCCAAGTAGACCAGTGGCAAACTCAGGTGCAACGTAAGCAGCGACCTCTTCGGCTGACATTTTTAGAAGACCAATTCCGTGATGCGTGATGTGCCACTATGTACACCGGCTGTGAAGCCAAGGTCAGAGAGAGCTGAACAGAGATGGCGAGAACTGAATTACAGACAAGAAAAAAAGAAAAAACGAGCATGCACGGAGTAAATCGAATAAGCGGCGCATTACAAAGTCGACAGCATAGTACGGGGATAAACAGGGCATTAGGTGTGCAAAGTCCACTAGAATATTACCACAGATGATGAGGTAATCATTTGATTCTAAAAAAATTTCTAGCAAGCGTAACTTATTATAAGAAGGGACTCACACGATGATTTAGACATCACGGAGATGTGCTTAAAACGATTTCAATTCTGTGAAGTGTCCAGAAATAGGTGGTACATGTGGATTGGCGGCGGTAACTCACAATACAATGACCTAGTATGTACATCTCGGTTTCCGTAGCCATTAGCGCATTATGGTGGGGATAAAATTTGCATGACTGAAAAGAGAGAAATAACTTTGATAATTCGGAAAGCTGATGAAATCCATTCGCTGAGAGCAACTAAGAGCGTTGGTGGTCGGAGTGTTCGTTGAGCTCGGCAGTTTTCATGCAGCAAAACTGCCGAGCTCAACGAACACTCCGACCACCAACTGAACAACGTGGGCCACCAATATATGCTTCTATATCACAAATAAGAGTGTAGATGGGTGTCATGCATACATGCACTAAGCCCCGCGTTCCATTCTAAGCAGAGGCTATTACTACCTTATGAGTCCAAACGTGGGATGTCGGTGTTGCGAGAAGCAACGATGAAACTCCTACAGCTCAGATATGGCCTTGGAAATCGGAATGATCGAGGTTTAATTCAAAATGACCTGAGGTCTTACTACAGATTGTGGCAATCTAAACTTTTATTTACCGTTGTGCTAAGCGTCGCTCGCAGGTTCCAGTGGCTTAGAGATCAAGGCGTCAGAAATTAACCACAAGGTACCGAGCTCCACTTCCAGAGCGGACACACTCTATCTGTAGAGTCCAACCTAGGAAGGAACTGGTCCTGATCGCATCGACGATAGCTACTCTTCGACAAGCTTTGCAGCAGAGAAACACAAACGAGTGACTATGGTGGTTTGTCTTGATGTGAAAACTGCCTTCGACTCTGTTGATTGTGCTAGCTTGTGATACTGCCTATCTGTGAGGAACGTAGAAAACTCATTTCCCATCTGAAGTATCTCTACCGTGACTCCCGAAACCGGTTAAGTGTCTACGGGAAGCATTCCCATGATTTCTCTACAACAAGTGACATTCAGCATGGTTGTCTTGTATTGCCTTTTCAAATATGCAATCGAAATAATCATAAATGTCGCCGTTCTTTCAATCTCATCCGAAGTCAAGTCCCGTCACGTGACCGATCATGACTATGCGGACCACATAGCTCACCTTGCGTCAAAAGCAGTGCCATGCAAGGTCTACTCAATAAAGTGACGAGTAACGCTGAACGCTCTGGTACGAGTTTTGTGCCTTCAAAGTGAAAAGATATCAGCGAACAGTCACTGGAAGTGGTAGGTCGGTTCACTTGCCTTAAAAATCGTGTCAATATGTGGTTCAAAGCACTGAGAAAGTCACTTCGCATATCGGCATGGCTTGTGTGGCTTTTTAGAGGCTCAAGCAGATATGGAGACCGCGGGATATCAGAGCCTGTCAGTGTGAGTTAGGATGGATAACTATGTGATAAGGTCGGTATTGCCTTATGCAACAGAGATGACCAGTTTACAGTGAAGACAGCAAATGATTCTCCATCCCTGATAAACGGTGTGTGCCAGGCGTTGCTCACATGTTGGGGAACACCGGTTGAGGAATAATGAAGTCCGGCAGTTGTTTATAGCAAGAAGCCTTTTGGTGCCTCATTCGAGTGTTTGATGAAGCTCAACCACTTAAGTTGGTTAGGAAATATCCTCCGTATGCCCGATGACCGACTTCCTAGATATGCGTCATATATTGTCGATGCACTAGATTGAGCGAAACCGCGAGGTGCCATTCGATGACAGGGTATGGTCATGAAGAAATCGACTGCAACATGTGCAGAGGAATTTCTGCCACGTGGTCCTTATCAGTTGTTGTAGACCATCGGACATGGCGCAGTCGCATACGGTTGAATGGAAAAGCCGAACACTTCATTATCACTTCAATTGGGCATTAAGGTCCACTTGTGCGGCCAGCGAACCCAGGTGCCCGCCTTGAGTTGTAACACTTGACCCACCCAGTGAAGCGGATGTCTGCTTTGCAACGTGACACTTGAAATGATTCAGGGCTGCCGGCTCAGATGATTTTCTCAGAAGCTGTCCAAGTATGGCGGAGCAATAACGACTCCCAGCTAACCACTTTGTTCTCCAGTCTGGTATGAAGAAAAGGTGCCTTCTCACTGGGGTCTGTCAGACATTGTTCCGATTTTTAGGTGCACGCCTCACCCTCATTTCGGTAGCTTCTATTCTACTTCATAGACTATTCCCGATTCCTGAAAAACACTACCGGGAAGAACAAGCAAGTTTCCGTTCTGGCCGCGAGTGTATGGATCAAATCGTCATGCTCCGCTATATCTACTAAAGGCCTACCATATTTGCCCTCCTACACATACGTTCTGCATTCGATTCGGTTCATCGACCTACGCGATGGCGTTGCTTCCTAAGAAACGAGATCCTGGTAAAGTATACTGCCTTATTACGTGCACTGTACCTCCAAGTCTTCGGCATAGTGAAGGTCTAGGATAAGCTTTCTTCGTCATAATCGTCAACGTACACATTAGCCAGTGACGGACAATACCTCAGCTATCGTGACGCAATACATGAGAAAAAGATGCAAAAGGGGGAAGCTAGCTGAGCTACCGCAATGGATGGGCGTCGCTCTGGAGAGCTACCAGCCTGTTATTTTACTGCAAATACGAGAAATGCATTATGCCTGGGAAATGAGATGGTGATTGGAGAGGAAACCTAAGCGGAAGGGGAGAGGCAAAGAAACTCACAACACAAACGCCACTGAGATCGGCTCCTAGCCATGTCAGTAAGTGTAACCAGTCAAACGTGTTCCTCGTATTTCGGAAACCCAACTAGGGACCTGAGTGGCTGCAACCGAGGCCAACTTGGAAGTAAGGGCTTTTATTCCTCTTGACCAAGTCATCGCTTGGCCTCCCCTCTTTTTTCACTTACACATTCGGGCGCGCAAACAACGCACGTTGCGGAAGTCGGTGTGATGACATGCACAACAAGCGGGCAGACCATCGGAACGTAGTGCGTGAAATAGCGGTACTGAGCAGTTCAGTTCCTTTTTCTGTGCCATAAACAGGGTGTCGAAAACGCGCATTGCTTACGCGGTGTTCCCACTAGATATGAGCCAAACCGCGAAGGCACTGGTGGTCGAACGAAACTAGCCTCCTTAGGTATGCCGATTTAATGGGCCATGTTCCACAACCGTACAGTAGGGCCGAGGGTACGGCTGCATTGTACACTCTACTCCCCAGGAAGAGATTGGTGCCGCGCAGGCGCTATAGGTGGTGAAGGTTAAGAAAAACGCCACTAGTTTCTGCTAGACTTTCCGTGACCTCGTCTTCGATTCCACAGGCAGTTACAACTGGATAGGCAGTTTAACCTTTGTACGACTTCTAACCGATCCCCAGCAAGGGTCAGTGCAGGTGGCGGTCCCAGCAAATCTTAGAGAAAAGCTTTGCACTTCAAGGGAGCAAATCATAGCCCGAAACCGTTAGCAGCCAGTGCTAACTTGTCCAGAGCCGTTGGCACATTTGTGAGCTGTCACAGATGAGGGCAATGTCGTCTACACACTGTAAGTCAAGAAATCGTTCACCTGGGAGCAGATCCACACCTAAGTCGTGTACTGTGAACGCGATCTCCATAATCTCATCAGTAACGAAATTGAAGCTGAAAGGTGACGGCAAGCTTCACTGGTTTACACCGCTGGAGATATTGAAGGGCGACGATAGCTAGTCTTAAGACCCCACTCTGCCTAAGCTACGCAAGTATAAGGCGCGGATGTTTACATATTTCTCGGGCACACTATTCCACTGAATCGAATGCACCTTTGACATCGAAAAACACGATAACGTGGGCCGCCAATATTTGTGACGGTGCTACAACAAATGACGAAAAGTGAAGCTGGGACAGATGCAGCCGCGATCACAACGAAACCCGCCGTGTAACTCACAAACTTGGTTTTTACGAGTGCCTGTCAATCGGTGAAGAATAACAGATGCAAGTAACTTGAAGGCGATAGAGATTAGACAGATTCCTATAGGGGTTGCATCATTCCGAACGTGATCCTTTCTTGAAGATCTGAACAATAACATAATAGCTCGTTTGTGGCTGGCTTGTCGAACAACCATCGCGTGGTGACAGCTGGGTGGTTCAGGTTCTTCCCGTTCCAGTAAATGGTACGGCAACAGTGTTTCAGAAAGTAGCGGGTTTTCGGCTGACAAGTGTCCTCCCTATAAAAAGCCTTAAATGTCTGTTTAACAACACTGCGACGCGGCGGACGTGACTCGCAACTAAATAAAGTCACTGCCCCTTGCTTTACCACGCTGGAGCATTGTAATCATTCAGCTTGACGCTGAATTACTGGGAGTATTTGGGCTCTGTTTAACAGTCAGCCAAACGAAAGGTGTATGAACCGTGCAACCGGTCACCGGCTCCCAATGGGCGCGATTCCCTGAATTCGCCCCGCTGTCTTGCGGATCAGGTCCCTATGACCAAAGGCTCCAGGTGGGGCCCACTAAGCCAACCCCCTTCCTCGGCCTGTGTAATCGGGGAGCTGTATGCCCACACAACGCAAGAAATGATGGATTTACAACTCACTGCTCACGTCTATTGCTCTCTGAACTCTCTCTTTGGCCCCGGGTGCTGGCGGCCAGACATGCTAAACCTCACTCTACCGCAACGCAAATCACGTTTTTCGTTCCACGTTTATTCAACCCTCCCGTTATTGGCAACCCGCCTTCAATTCCGAATCTCCAAAAGTGCACAGCAAATAAAAAACTACCTCTGGCCTCCTCAATAAAACGCATTAAAACTGATCGCACACATTCCAATACCAAC